CAGTCCACCCAGCTGGTCAGTTTGTCCTCCAAAAAGATGTATCTCAGTCCTGACCCTGGGTACCTATGAACATAACCTTGGGAAACAGCGTAGATTCTTTGCAGATGTAATCACGTGAAGGATCAAAGGATAAGATCAGCCTGGATTTGGGGTGGGTCCTTACCATCCCTACAGTGTCCTTATTGGAAAAAGGGGAGCGGAATAAAAGGTCAAGACGCAGGGGAGAGAGCCACGTGAGATAAAGGCAGAGACCAGAGAGATGCCGCCACAAGCCAAGCAACACCAGAGGCCGCGAGAAGCTGGAACATCAAGGCAGAGTTCTCCCTTAGAGCCTTTGAAGAGAGTGTAGCCCTACTGACAGTTCCATTTCAGATTCTGGTTTCCAGAACAATCAAAGAACATTTTTACGTTATTTTAAGCCACCAATTTTGTGGCGACTTGTTGAGGCAGCCTTCAGAAACTAATACAGTGAGAACCTTAATTCTCCAAGGCTCTGTTTTATTTATTTATTTTTAAAGACAGACTTTTTGCTATAGTGTGTGCATGCTGGAGAGAGAGAAACAGAGAGAGACAGAGAGAGAATGAGAAATCACCCCTCCCCAGGAGAATGAGCATACTGCAATCCCTTCTCATCCACTCTCCTCTCAGGGTCTTGGGCACACACGTACATGTGCCCAGCGTGAGTTTTAAGCTGCCAGGTCCGGGACTCAAACCATCATTGACTACGTGGGAGTCCGGTGACATGATCATTACACCATCTGCTGAGCCCTCCGAAGCACTGTTTTAACATTCGTAAAATGGAGATCGTTTCCTCAACACTTTCCCTCTTCACAAATGTGTGAGGACTAGCAATAAGATATAGTAGCATACTGGCTGGTCAGAAAAGTCAAGACACATCTTTGCACAGAAAAACATAGAAAAATGTATCATGGCTTTCCTGATGACCAACACTTTGTGAATTAAGAAGGGCTATCAAAGGGCCGGGAAGGTTAACTACAGAATACTGGTATTGTTGTTCAGAAACGTTTCTGAGAGCTTACAAAACCGACACGGCCAAGACTAGGAGAAAGGAAATGCCAAGTTCAACCCTAAACCATCTCTGATACTGAGTTAATATATTACCAAGTCGATTAAATCTGCAAATTACACCAGAGGTAATTATCACTTTGCTTTAAGAAAAGGAAATCTTCTAATCTATTTTAATCATGTCTGCCGTGTGTGTGCAGGGTATTAAAAGAAGCCTGCTCAAGATACAGGAATGATCCTTGGGGTATTTTTGGAGGGTGTCTGTGCGGTGAGTTTATATCCACTGGTGCCTCTTGCCATCACCTAAATTGAATCATGGGATGCAGAATCTAAGCTTCTTTTCTTTCCAATGCATTCTTTTCCTCTAAGACAGTCTCTCTGACGCTTGCTGTGATTTTTGGACAGACAGTTCCAGTCTTCTCTTTAAGGAAAAAACACCATCTTGCCCTAACTGGAGACTTCTGAGAGCACTCCACAAAGTCACGTCAAATTTCTTCAGGCTTGTGCCACTGAATATTGCTGGTTGCTGCAAAGCCAGCCTTGAAAGATGTTTCCAGTTCACCCCGTAAGAGGAGCACCACCTGGACTGGCAAGAACCATAAGTCCAAAGCTAGACAAGATCATCCCCCTTACCTCCCAAAAGTAACTAAGGAAAAGTATAGGAAAGGTCTGGCACGTGGGAAGGACTCTGAGAGGGCAGTTTGTTTTTTCTGATGACTCCACTCACGAGAGGCACCAGCTTGACAGTGGGTTCCAGATGAAGGCCATGAGCGCTCAGGTGTGTTGTCGGGTTGAGTAACGGAAAGAGCACGGCCTCTGGACACAGCAGACCTGATGGCGATAATCGTAAGCACCACGATTCTAATTCTCAGATTTGCCATTTACTTGCCATGTGATCTTGGACCAGTTATTGAACTTGGCCGAGCCTCAAATTCCTCATTTGCGAAATGGATTACCATGGCATCTCCCTCGTGGGATTGTTCCAAAGATGAAACAGAACCTTGTATACATTAGGTGCTCCTCTTAGGATGTGCCTCTTCCATCTTCTATCCAACTGGGAAAGCAGCCCTCCCATTGGGGGACTCTCACTGGCATTAGTCCTTCATCAGGGGTCCTCTAGACAGGGAGGGACTGGCTGGGGTACAGCAGAGATCTTCAATGGGCTATGAAATTACTGAACATCCTAGCGTGCCCCTTCTGTTCCTGCAGAAGGTCTCTCAAAGCCTCCCACTTCTGGCGTGTGATGTCCCTGGCGGCCACAGCACACTGAGCCTTCTCCCCTCCAAGGCCCAAATTCTTTCTTCCTTGAAACACCCGACCCGTCCCCACACCGCAGCCCACAGGCTCCATGGGGCAGACCCTGGCAGTCTAGATGGCTCATGGCAGATGGCGCCATGTGGACTAATCAGGAAGTCAGACAAGAACACACTGCCCCCTCTTCCACTTGCCAGGAAGTGAGATTGTTTGGATTTTAATCATAGCCACAGCGAAGAGCCAGCACGCGGCCCCTCCAGCCAAAAGATAAAATTTCCACTTCTCAACATTTAAATCTTCCTCAAAACAGAGACCCCTACCAGGGTGACTGCTCCTTAAAAGAGGGCTTCTTTATTCTCCGGTATAATTTTTTTTTTCTTATTTAATAACATGACAGAAATAAAATACTCCACGGACATGGTGGCACTCACAGACTGACTCACACCACAGGGACTGTCTTCATTCCTCCATAAGTCACATCTAGCTCGCTGGCATATTGATCCAAGGCCGAGATGAATGCAGGATCCCATAATCCTCTGAGAGAAATCTGACATTTTCTTTAAATATATATCCACAGAACAACTGTTTCTAAAACTCCACGAAACGGGTCACCAGGGCAGCACACCATTGATTTCGCATCCAGTGATTTCTCAGAAAGAGGGCTCTACGTTTTTCTCAGTAATTCAGCCAACAGCAGATCCCATTTGGTCCCTGGAGAGACACTGTCCCTGGTCTCCCCCAGATGAAGCAGCAGGTGTCCCAGAAGAATTAGATGCAAGAGTCCCAAAAAAAGAGAGCCCTCACAGTCCCCTGGTCGTTCCGGGAAAACTGAAAAAAGAACCACAATCATGTCCTTTTGGAAAGTATTGTCCCACTAGAGCCTCGTACTGGAAAAAGTCGCAAGACAGTTGGGCACAGTGGTCAGAGCTCAATTTAGTGAGCAACCTCAAACGGGACACTTAACCTTGCCAGGCACCGCACTGTCCTCGTATGTGAAGTGGCGGCAATAATCCCCACCTTACAAACTCATCGTAAGGATTACATTAAATAACATATGTAAGTTAGCTGCTTGGCATAGTGCCTGGCACAGAGGAAGCGCTCAGAAACCCGGCTAGTAGGAATGGCAGAAGTCAGGCTAATTTACCCCCGAGATCTTTCCACCTCCAAAGATGGGAATGAATACAACACATCTAGAGCAGCAGTCTGACAGTTGGAAATCTGTGACATAGTCTATTCTGCAGTGTTTCATAAACAAATAGGAACATATTTACCTTTCTCCAGCTCACGTAGGAGGTTTGACTGTGAACATCTATATCTCAGCCGTACATGACTCAAGAACCTTCCTCACTACCCTACGGTGCCCATATCACAGGAGTAGCTTGGTAGGAGGGTAAAATTCTAAGAAAGGCAAGTACCCTGCTGTAGTACTGCCCTAAACTCCCTCCAATACTTTAAGGAAACAATCTCCATACAGCTTATCCATTGAACAAGCCCTCTGAAGCATCGCGTGGACACAGAGACTCATGAGGCTAAGGATGGTGTCTAAGGTTGTCAGGGGGTGAAAGGCTGTTGGTGCAATGGATGTAAATACCCCCCTCCTGACCAGCTGGGTCTGAAAAGGTAAGGTGATGACTCATCCATGAACTCAGGTCTTTCCAGGTAGAGGGAGAACAAGTTGAAAGGCCAAGAATACAGCGAGGTATCGAAATCGCTGCCTCTTGGTAAAGACAGTAAAGCCATCGGCCTCCAGTGAACTTGGATCTGAATCACCAAGTGAAAGGGAACACATGAGCAGTGTCTCTGGAACCCAGACTCCCTAGCTTCATCCGTGCCTCCAATCCTTTTCAATTTAATCCTTGATTTATTCCCTCAACATAATATGCTGTCCTTCACGCACAGAGATGACCCTGATGACTCACACATCAACATGAGTTATTTTTTCCAGCAGTGGTCACGAATTTTCACTCATCCAGACATTTGTTTGTGCAGAATGGCTGGTGGGGAAGGGGTACACTGATCGGCTTGGAATGCAGCGAGGCTAAGCGGTTCACATGCAGACTGGACAAATGCATGGCCTTGCTGCTGCTCTCGCTCCTGCCCTGGGATGCCTGTCCTCAAGCCAAGCAAGCTAACAGAAGATCATGAGTGATATAAAAAGAGTGATATAAACGACATAGTGCATTGTGAAGTTGGAAGGCCCAGGTTCAAGTCCTGGATCCACCCATCTCTAGCAATGCAATCTTGATTAAGTCTCATATACCTTTCTGGGGCTCAAAATCCTCACCCCCAAGTGCTGAGAACAGTCATACCTATCTCTCGTAGCTCCTGCGATGATTCATATAAGCTCATATAAAAATAAAAATACATCTGATTATCTACAAAATTATGTATCATAAACATTGTGTAGGCTGATATAAATAATCTTTATTAAACATATTAATACTAGGAATAATATGATCAATCACCTATAGACCACAGCACTAAGTCCTGCTAAGAGATGAGACGTCTGTCTTCCAAAACAAGATTGTGTCCAGAAAGAACATCACATCAAGCAATGGAGTACATCATTCCCACTGAACGTACACTCTGTCACCCAACCCAAGTAGCCCCTTCAAGTGTATGTCCTTCCGTAGCCTCCCCGTAACTCCAGGGCTTGGCATTTCTCCCCACCCAACCACGACCACCACTTTACTACCTGAACAGTCTTCAACTGAACTTACAATTCCCGAAGACTCAGCGTCTGGAAGAGCTGCCACGAGAGAGTGGTGAGCCGGTTACTCGACAGGTTTCTGCAAGATTGACAAGTAAAGGGAAAAATTAAAGGACAAATCTCATACAGATAATGCTCTTGGAAGTTAGCAGGCTCATTTCACTGCAGCCTGGCTTTGTTTTTCCTCTTCTTTCCTCGATTTCACAAATGATACATCTGCTAAGAGTTGAGGCCACAGGCCAGGTTGAAAGGGAATTCTAGGGTCTTTTAAAGGGCAAAGCTCTGCATATCAAAGAAATGATAAAATTCTCTTATTCTCCCACAATTAAAGTTCAGGGAACTTTTCTGAAGTCACCCCTCCTTATTTATTTACTTTTTTTCCCCTTTTTTTTTTTTTTTTTTTAAGTTTTTCCCATAGGGTGTATGTGCTTGCTGGAGAGAGAGAGAGAGAGACAAAAAAAGGGAAAATAAAAAACTACCTCCTGGGGTGACACCCATGCTGCAATCTCTCCCTCTCCATTCTCCTGTCAGGATTTCAGGCATTCACACACACACGCCCGGCATGATTTAGAAGCTGGCAGATCCTGGACTCAAACCATGGTTGGCCATGTGGGAGTCCAGTGCCTTAACCACCATGCCACCTGCCTGCCCCAGAATGGAGGATACACAAGCTAAAAAGCATTCTGAACATTCACACAGTTCACAAAACTGCACAGGTCACCTACAATGCCTTCTAGTGGGTACCTCCCCTGGAAAACATGCCCATCAGTGATCAAGACATCAGCCTTCTGCTCACAAGTCTGTTCTCCTAATGGCTATTTAATTGTTCTCATTAGGATGAACAGGGGAAAGGAGCAGCCATTAGTCTTCTGAAATAAAAGAAGAAACACGCCCACGGTTATTACCTGGCCAGGCTCAACAAACAACTTTTGCTGCACTAACAGTCCTTAAAGGCAGCAGTTAGACACGGCTAGAATTGAAGCGGCGCCCCAGGAACAATGTACTCATCTAGCGATGGGAACGGATGATGGTGTGGATTCCGTTTAGGTAAATATCTAGACGCACTCACAAGCATGTGGATATTGGTTTCTATTAAACATGTAGGTAATTAATACAAACCCCTTTGTTTACATACACACACATACGGCTTATACATGCACCTGTACAGAGATGACTTCAACAAATATCTATTAAGACACTGATAGGCTGCACTGAGGAATGAGGGGGGTGGACTATGGAGGGGGAAAGTAGGGTCCTTAGAGAACCGTGGATTCAAGTTACAAATGAATAAGAAGAATATGAACAAAGTGATATAAGCATGCTGACATGAGAGCAGGAGAGGGTTACTTCATGAATGCTCGGTGCCCACCTTCTGAGATGGTAACATCGGACCTGACACAAGAAGAATGAGAACGAGCAGTGTTTCAGGCAAGGGAGGCAGCCAGTAGAAAGGCCTGAGTAAAATTGAAATTGGGAGGCCAGGAAGGAAGGGAGGCTAAATAATAATAAAAAAAAAGGGGGGGAAAGGGGGGCATGGGAGTACTTCGGGGTAAGTGGGAGGAGGATTCAGGACACACTTACCTTGCAGACCATGAAGAAGAGTCTGAATTTTGTTTATTTATTTATTTTTTGAGAGAGATTTTTGCTACTGGGTGCATGCACTTGTCAGAGAGACAGAAGGGGGATGGCCACAATGTGATTCCTTCTCAACAGAGGAGAAGGATTTTGAGCACGCACATGCACCTAGCGTGAGTTTCAAGCTACTGGGTCCGGTACTCAAACCACAGTCGGCCACATGGAAATCCAGCACCTTAACCTCTATGCCACCTGCTGGCCCCTGGATTTTAGTTTAAAAAGCAGCAGGAAGGCATTGGATGCTTTTTAACATAGAAGTGACATCATTTCAGTACCATGTTTAAAAATGGAAGACCGAGACTAGAAGTTGGCAGGCCAGTTAAGAGGCTGCTAGAGTATTCCAGGCAAGAGAACGGATTAGAGATAATTAAGGAAATGAATTCAAGACAGGTGTTGGAAGAAGAGTGGCCTTTTTGAATTATATCTGCGAGAGGAGGGAAAAATTATTAAGCAACCAGGTGAGCAGTGGTATCTTTTAATCACCCTGAGCAGTGGGGTCGAGAGCCTCCCCCTGGTGAATACTAAGTTTCAGATGATTGTTGGATACCCGGACAGAGAAATCAGTCTGCCAGAAATGGGTCTGGAGCTCAAGAGAGGGAAGGTGAGGCTACCCAGTTTGTAAGAGTTCAACGACAAGGACGACCTACAGGACAGGGCTTCTTCTCATGTCATTCAGCCCTACCTTTGGGGAGCCGGCCTGGCCCCACACTGGCCAGAACAGCCTGTGACTGTGTGAGAAAGGTGGCTCGGAGACAGACAAGACAAGGGAGACAGACACGAAGATCTGTCTCCCAGGTTGACTGTTCGGTTCTCTTCCCCAGACCCAGCACCCGCTGCTCAGCACCGAGCTCTCAGTGTTCTCGAGGCGGCTGCCCCATCGCCCGCACAGGGCTGAGAGCACTGGTGTGACAGCTCTTGTCGCTAAACGCCTAGAAACCAAAGCCATCCATCATGCTCACCTTCCCCAGCGGGGACGTGTCTTACGCCTACAAACTTGTGCCATTCTCCACCGACTTAAGGGAGAGGCTGATAAAAACAAGAACAGCAAAATGGGGTACATACACAGTGGAGCGCTATTGAAGACTATGGAATACTATTCAGTCTTGGAGAAAGAGTTCTGTAACTTGTAGAATTCTGTAACTGCATGGGTAGAATCAGACATTACATTTCAGTAAAAGAAGCCAGGAGCAGAAAAACAAATACCACGTGTTCTCACATGTGAAATCCCAAACAATAGAATTTATAGGAACAGAGATTAGAAGGGTGGTTGCCAAAGACTGGGCAGGTGAACGGTGGTGTACAAAGCCTCAATTAGACCAGAGGAATAAGATCTTTTTTTTAAACATCTTTGGGATGGCGTAATGGTTACATCACTGGACTCCCACACAGTCGACCATGGTTCTAGTCCCAGACCCAGTAGCTTAAAACACACTCCTAATGTGTGCATGTGTGCCCAAAATCCTGAGAGGAGACTGGAGGAGAAGGGACTGTGGCGTGGCCATCGCCCCCGGGAAGTGATGTCTTGCTTTCTGTCTGTCTCTGTGTGTCTCTGACGAGTACACGTGCCCTATAACAGAAATCTCAAAAAAAAGAAAGAAATCCTTTGCATAGCATGGTGAATAGAGTTAATAGCAGCATACAGCACATTTAAAAATCACTATGCGAATAAAGTTTAAATGTTCTCACCAAGAACAATGAGTGTGTGAGGTGAGAATATGTCCACTAGCTGGACCTCATTGTTCTACATGGGATTCAGAAATCGTAACATCACTTTGTGCCCCGTCAATATATAAAACTAAAAGGGGGGGGGGCTGGCTCCGAAAAGTCATTAGAAATCCAGATTATGGAAAAAATGACATGTGAGTTGCAAACCTTTCTGTGAGTTTCAAACTTTTTTATGCCCAAATAAACTCGTACTTTAATCCTATCTCTCAAAAACCTTTGGAAACGTGTCCGTGTACAATAAAAATAAAGAAGGAAGAAAAACTGCATTGATGCCCATTCGAGGGCACGACCTGGGCAGAGGTCTCTGCAGGGGCCCTCCTCTAGCTGGGAGGGTGAGGCAGGGGTCTCACGTACACTCCCCTCGCCCAGAATTGTTAATCCTATCCCAGCTACACACTGGGCGCTCACTGTATGGGGTCAGGACCGAAGGTTTGAGGACCTCTCTCTCTCTCTCTGAGTCTCCACTGCCATGAGCCTGTAGGGATGTGCTAATAAGTCGAAGCGTTTGATTCACCCGGGTAGAAATCTTTCACTTCGCTGTGTGTCCTAGTGTAGTGCCTCACACAACAGCACCCACAGTGGCAAAGGTCGAACCAGTCCAAGCTCCCGAATCCACAAGTCACTCCCTGCAGGACTTTGGAAAGACATCCCGCCTGTCTTTAGCTCCCCGCCCCACCCCAGAGCGCACTTACCCCAGCCTGGGGTGCTAAAAGCTGAGCGTCCTCCAGGGAGTCTGCAGCCAGAAACCCCAGACTCACAGAGCCTTGGGGAACTTGCTCCCGCTATGATACACAGGCACCTGGTGGTGGGAAGCCAGGAGACGGGGGCAGGCAGGGAAAGGCAGCCTTGCTCCTCTTTTGGGGAGGCTGCTGCAAGTTCTGGGGAGCCCCAGGCAGAGAGCAGGCCGCCTGCAGTGTCCTCTAGCAAGGGCCATGCTTTGCTACATTAGGCAGAGATGTCAAGAGAAAACCCGGACTCCGAAAGAAAGACTGTAACAGGCGTTCTGTGCAAATGAAGAATAAGGAACAGCGCCTTCTCGTTCTGAGTTAGAGGAGGGTGGAGTCCTGAGACACCTGGGAAGGGGGAGGCGGGCCCACACTCTCACAGGTGTGCTTGTTCTACCTCCACCCACGCTGCCGACCCCCCACCACCACCACCAAAGCCACCTGGCGGAAAAGGCTTCCCCAAATTCCTCCAGCTGGAGAGACCACTGCAGCCCATATGCACATACAACCCAGTGCGTGCTCCCAGAACCAGGGAGGAGGCTATGTGCACAACTCCCACATAGCCGGCCCAGGTTCAAGTCCTGGACCTGGCAGTTTGCTTCTCGCTCTCTCTTTCTCCCTCTCTTCCATCTAATTAATTTTTTTTAATGAAATAAAAAATTCTTTTTAAAAAGATGAGAAGGCCACAAACAAGCAGGGCCAGTCTCTGGCTATGCCGCCCTCCCAGGTATTGATCGATGCTCCTGGTGGCCAGTAAACGGGCAAGCTGGGGGGAAGCGCTTCTTCATGACTTACCACCCACTCAGAACGCACTGCCCCCGACTGTCTAGCGGGTGCCCCACCTGTATCCACGTGTCATACGTTATTGATGAGCTGGTTACCCCGCTCATCAGACAAGAGTTTAATTAAGAACCATCCTGTCTCTAAGCCCCGCACCAGCCTCCTCCCTAACAGATCCATTATCCCCAGTCTCTGACTTCTCCGTGGGTCAGTG